GAGCCCACGTGCGTCAGGCCTGGGAAGCCGGGGGATGCAACCTGGGGGCGGGGCCGGCTGTTGCGGGGGCGGGGCCGGCTGTTGCGGGGGCGGGGCCTTGTGGGGCGGGCCTTTCCCGACGGGGCGCGGGGGCGGAGCCTGTGGGGCGGGGCATGAGGGAGAGACGGCTCCGGGAGGAGCTTTCGTGGGCGGGCCTATCAGGGGCGGGGCATGAGGGCGGAGCCTGAGGGGGTGGGGCATACAGGGAGCCGGCTCGGGGAGGAGCTTTCGGAGGTGGGGCCCGCTTGGGGCGGAGCCTGCTTGGGGCGGGGCCTTCGGTAGGACGCCTGCCATAGAGGGCTGTGAGGGGGCGGGTTCAGTTCGGGGAGGAACCTGCGGCGTCGGTTAGGGGCGGGACCTGAGAGTGCGGGGTCTGATCGGGGCGTGGCCTTCGGGAGTGGACTCGTCTGTGGGTGGAGCCAGCTCGGGCCGAGCCCTCCACCGCCCATTACCACCGAGTCCGACCCCGGGTCCTAGCGCGGCGGCCGGAAGGGGCGGGTCAGCAGGCGGGCTCTTCCTGCCAGTGCTGAGGGCCAACCGGGACGGGGTCGCGGAGCGGCGGGGGGTCCCGCGAAGAGGGTGCCCCTTTCTCGTCCCCGCCCCGCCCTCCGGCGTCCTGGTAGGGCCCGGGCGCGTCCGCGCTCTGCAGCGGCAGGTCCTCGTCGCCCCGCGTCTCCGGCCAGGTACTCACTGGGCCCCGCCCGCCGCCTCCGTCCCAGGTCGCGCGGCGTCGGAATGGCCCCCGCGGCCTCCCCGCGCCCGGCCCTCCAGGGAGGGAGCGAGACCCGGCTCTGAGCACCTCCCAGGCCCCGGCCCCGCACCGAGGCCGACCTGGCTCCGCACGCGGGCCGCGGGGCTCTGCCGTTGGAAAGGGGGTCTCTTAAGTAGGAGCACGCAGGAGACCCTGGCGGGCCCTTCGCCTGGCTCCGAGGCCTGGCATCGCAGGCCTTGGCACAGCAAGCTGGCCCATGTTAGGCCGTGGACCCATCAGGCTGTTTCAGTGCAGTTTGCCCTTGAATCTCAAGCCCACTAATGTTCCAGTCTCTCCATGAGACCCAGATCCCTGAGCGCAGTGGAGGGAGGCGCCAGGGTGAGTAAGGTTTTCCAGGCAGCCCCTACCGCCCATAGATACCCAGAGCTTCATATTACTAGTGAAGGGTCGTCGGTCCAGAGAGGCGGTGGAGCTACGCTGGAGTTGCACGACAGAACCAGAACCCTAACCTCTGAGGCTCTGGCAAGCATGGGTTGCATTGTCTGTGACTAGCTAATCACTCCTGTCTACAGGCCTGTGAAGTGAGGCCAAGACAAGCGCTAAGGTCCACTCTGTCTTTAAAAGTATTTTATTTCTCAGGGTGGGCAGCGTGTAGAGAAGTGAGTCGTTCCAGTCTGCCATTTAGCGCCTACCAGCCTGAGCTGGGTCGACAAGACCATAATGGAGAATGTTTCTTGAGCACAGTATGTGACCAGGATTTGGAGATTAAAAAGACTTCTTCGCCTTCAGGAGCCCCTGCTGCATAAGGAGACTGCCATGTCAGTGACCAGCCGCATCCAGTTACAAGTGTCTGGAAGAGGGAACAGTGCTGTGCGGCACAGAGGACTCCCACCCAGGCCTTGGGCAGCAGGTGTGAGGCTCAGTGGGTTCACAAACCGCCCCTCCGTGGAATGGAGTCTGCAGAGAGCTAGAAGGGTTTCCACCGTACCCTGGAGAGCTGCGCTTCTCCACCTCACCCCTGCCCATGAGGCAAACTGAGCTGGTCGACTGGTCTTTTGTGTTGGTTCTTGGTTCTCACTTTTGTTTCCTACCAGAGCTGGACCCCAGCCTCAAACTCCAGCCAGCTTGGGCACCAGGGCTGGGCACCAGGACTCCCCCTGCCAGCCCCAGCAGAGATGCTGCATCCTCCCTCAGCACATGTGGCCTTCAGCTTCGGTTCTGGCGCGCCCACCTGATCTACCTCCTCCCACACACCACCTCTAGATAGAGCCCTAGAAAGTGATGTTGGCCTGAAACTGAGTCACATTTATCTAAACATTTTTCCTGTAAAAAAGACCAGACTCTCTCCTTGTTGAGATAGGAAATGTGTTTACATGTTAGCTGCACTCATGAGGGAGAGGAGGAAAGGCCACAAACCTTGTCTCGACTTAACAAAGAGAATTCAAGGTATTTTTGTGTTGAAACGTGTCATTTGCAACATGTGTTTCAGCTCCATTTTCCACTTAGGCTCAACCCTGGCCGCAAACTCCAGCCTGGTTAACCAAGAGCTAATACGAAGGGTACACAATAGTATGTTACTTAGAATATGACTGAGCATGGTGGCTCACACCTACGGTCCCAGCTACCCAGGAAGCTGAGGTGGGAGAATCGCTTAAACCCAGGATCTCGAGCCTTCGGTGAGCTGCAGTCATGCTGCTGCACTCTAGCCAAGGCAACAGAAAGAACCTGTCTCAAGAAAAAAAAAAAAGAACGCCACCGTGGGGTAAGGCGGTGGTGAGAATGACAGGCTTCCTGGTGGATGAGAGGAAACATCGTAGTCCCAGGGGCTCCTGGCGTTCTCAGCCGGAATGGTTTGAAGCTGGAACACTGTCTGCTTTCCCTGGAGCCGCAGAGGAAGCAGTGTTTTCCACAGTCTCAGAGATTTCTTTCACCGGCAGCTTCCAGCCTGGCGTTTTTCAAGGCTTTCCACTGGGATTCTGTTGCCACTGAGAGGCAAGGGCAAGTCAAGGGAGCCCAGAAACAGCACAGAGCAGGGCTCCACAGTGGAGGGAGGGCCTGTGACTGAGGCTTCCACGTTGCACCTTTCCTGTCACCTCCGGCCTCTGGGGTTGACTGATTCTTGTTGGACTCATGGCAAGATTGGGCTGCAATTAGATGGCATCGTGGACAGGGACATACCTCTCTCTTCCCCTTGAGCGCTAATGAGAGACATTTCCATGGGGTAACCTTCAAACAATGCAAGCCAAGTCCCAGCCAACAGTCCGGGGCTGCAGCCTGCATCCGAGTGAGAACAGGCCTGGGCATCCCAGCACTGCCTCGATTGTGACCTGGGGAAGGGGTGTTGAAGATGAGATTAATGATACGGAGATTTGTGAAGAGCTTAGAGCAGGGAACATACTCTAAGTGACAGCTGGTGTGATTTCTCAGTTATTCAACCAATATTTGACAAGGAACCTTGGTGTGCCAGGAGCCATGGCAGGGCTTTGGAACAGAGAGCAAACCACCCAGAGGAGTTTAGCCCCTCTCATGTGCTGGGAGGAAAAGTAGGGCAGGGAAGCTTGCAGGGGACGGTTCCTTAAGAAGGGGGCATCAGAGCAGAAAGTTGAGGGGCCAGCCAGGTGAGGCAGGAGGGATCGGGTGTGTTTGGTGAACCTAAAGAAGGCTGGGATGGCAAGGGGGTCCCCAAAGGATGGGTGTGGCCCCAGGCAGGGCATGTGGGGCCCATGGTGTGAGGGACACCACCGGGATTCTTAGCCGGGATGTGACACAAGGGGGCCTGCTGGCTGCTATGGGCTGTGGCGGGGGCAGGGCAGCCCTGGTTTCATGAGTTTGGAACCCAGCTTCCACTGGGAGTGTGTGGCCCCTGCAGCCGTAGCTCCAAAGCACAGTGACTGATCCCAAGCCTGGGATGGTAAACAATGAGACCAAGGCAGGAACCAGGGGGACTCGGGGGTGGAGGAGGGAAGCCGCAGGGCAGTCGGTGGGGGTGTCAGATCCTGACGGCATGCAGACCCCAAACCCTGGCAGAGGAGCAAGGATTCTTTGGTGAGCCACTGATCCCTTCACCAAGACAAGGAAAGGCCAGGAGAGTGAGTCAGGTGGGGCTCTGCGGAAGTCAGCTATTCTGTTTGAGTCACTCATTGGGGAACACGTGGGAAGGGAGAGGCTGCACCAGAACCCCACGGCCCCTGAAAGGTGGCCTTTTCATCTGATGTCCGTGTTCTTGCTTCCCAGCAGCAAGAGGATGGTGGCCCTTGGCCTCCGGCAGAGCGTCGGCCCCACGCTGCGAGTGTGGAGAGGTGCATGGGAAGCAAACCGTTCTTGAGGAAGTGGCGCCAGCAGAGAGAAGCCAGCAGTCCCCTAGCCCTCAACGCTTCCAAGGAACAGAGAACGATGGAGAAGCCTGCAGGTAGAAGAAAGAGGACACCGACCCCGAGGGAGGAAGCAGATGGGCAGAAGAGCGCGCTCAGAGAGGAGCGAGTGTCCAGGGATAGGAAGCCACCTGAGAGGCCTGCTGTGCCCAGGAAGCCCCGAGCAGAGCCCCACCTGAGTCCTGAAGACGAAGAGCACATCTTTGATGCCTTCGACGCTTCATTTAAAGATGACTTTGAGGGGGTTCCCGTGTTCATTCCTTTTCAGAGAAAGAAACCCTATGAGTGCGGTGAATGCGGGCGGATCTTTAAGCACAAGACAGACCACATTCGCCATCAGAGGGTCCACACCGGAGAGAAGCCCTTCACGTGTGCGCAGTGCGGGAAGGCCTTCCGACACAGCTCTGACGTCACCAAACACCAGAGGACTCACACGGGGGAGAAGCCCTTCAAATGCGGGGTGTGCGGGAAAGCCTTTAACTGCGGCTCCAATCTCCTGAAACACCAGAAGACACACACCGGGGAGAAGCCATATGAGTGCGTGGACTGTGGGAAAGCCTTTGCCTATAGCTCCTGTCTCATCCGCCATCGGAAACGCCACCCTCGGAAGAATCCCTGAGCTGGGGACGCCTGCTTTGTGGCTCCCTGGTGTTGGGCGTCTGGTGGAGGTCCTGGGCCATGTGCGCTGTGTTCTGTGCCCTGGGGGACCCCCGGAAAATCAGCCTGGTCAGAGGTGAGAATGCCTGAGTGAGAGACCTTCCCACTGCAGAGAATCTCTAAGTCAAGACGCTGCAGTCATGTGGGAGCCACCAGAGGCTCCTTGCAACCACAGACCATTGTCCAAGTTCCTCGATGGCTCCCGGGGCTCAGCACCAGAGACCAGGTGTATTCACTGCCATCCACGGGACAAGCTTGGGTCACCTCACAGTGCCCAGCAGGAGAGGCTCCTGGTGTGCTGGGCGCCCACCACTTCCCGCTGCTGCCTGCCTGTAATATCCACTCTGCTAAAGCCTTTCATCTGCCCCTGAAGGCCCCAGTCCGCGGACTACCCACCCGCTGGGGCCCCAAGCTCTGCAGCAAGCCCAGGACCACTCCTCCCTGCCTGGCCAGCTTCAGAGCCCGGGGCCGCTCCTCCCTGCCTGGTCAGCTTCAGTGCCCCAGGACCACTCCTCCCTGCCTGGCCAGCTTCAGTGCCCCAGGACCACTCCTCCCTGCCTGGTCAGCTTCAGTGCCCCAGGACCACTCCTCCCTGCCTGGTCAGCTTCAGTGCCCCAGGACCACTCCTCCTTGCCTGGTCAGCTTCAGAGCCCGGGGCCACTCCTCCCTGCCTGCCTGGCCAGCTTCAGAGCCCGGGCCCGCTGCTCCCTACCTAGCCTTTGCCCAAACTGTGCTTGGTTCTCTGGCTTCTCTCCTCTGACTGGAGCCCAGTCCCTGAGCTCAGACCCCCGTCCCTGGAACTGGGCCACACAACATGCCCTCTTGGCCCAGCCTTCATCCCAGACAGGCGGCCTGACTTACCTGGATGAACTTCTCGGGACAGAGGCTCCTCAGGACCTTGGACACCGCCACCTGCTGAGCTTCCTGCCCCAGCTACCTGGTGGGGCCCCCAGGGTGCCCTCGGCAGCTCAGTCCAGCCTGCATCTGCCGCTCAGCCTTCCGATGTGGGCAGTGTTTCCCAGCCCCACGGACCAGCCCATCATTCAGGTTAGTTCCACTTCTGCATGCCTGTACCCAGTCCTGTCCCACCAAGGGCAAGTCCACAGGCCTGTGCCACCCTTGGGGTCCATCCAGGAGCGGAGTGGGAGGGGCTCTGTGCTCTCCAGGGACTGTGGTTCAGAAGAGAGTAGCAAATGACCGTCAACCGGAAGGCAGTAGGCTTTTACCTGGGAAACGCTGGCACCTGTGCCTGCAGCTATTGAGACGTGAAACCCTAATGACGGCTCTAGTCTGGGGATTCTGTCCTGGAAGGAGAGTCCCGATTCGAGCTAGAGATGGCCTTGGCCTTGTCCACTGAGCAGTCTCAGAAACCAAGTAGGGGACGCTACCCAGGTGATGGAGAACAGCCGTGTCCGGGTAGAAACGTTCACTGGATTAACACATTTTTACTGCCACAGTCTTTCTGAGAGCTGTAATGTTCCTGCCCGCCTGTGTAGGCCCCATGCCAGCTCAGCCACGGTGGGGTCACTCGGAAAGGGGGCCCCTCAGCAGGCCTCCCCTCCCACTAGGGGGAGGCTTCAATCCCTGTACTCAGAGGTGTTGGAAGCACATTCCACAGCAGAGCATGTCTCTTCTCCCAGCCACTCCTGCTGCCGGCCCACTCAGAGGAGCCTGTTCCATGGCAGGCGGCCCTGAGTGCTGCCACTTGCAGTATTGTGAGGAGGCTGCCCGGCCTCTCTCGTGCCCACTGCCCGGGGGCTGCAGTGACAGATGTGTCTCTCACCTCCCTTTCCCCACAGAAACAGAAATAGCCTAGAGCTAGAAAGTAAAACTCCCCTAAATCCCAGAGCAACACTGTCACCCACACTGGCGTCGCCTCTGGCCGGTTCACTTTCTCTACAGCAGCTTTCAGAGCCCACCTGTCATCTGCTCGCACCTCCCAGATCGCAGGGCAGCATCTCCCAGATGGCTGCAGGGCCCTCTGAGGTCAGGCAACACTCAGTGCCTGGGCTGGCTGTGGACCCAAGCAGGCTGGTCCACCTGGAAGGCCCCGCCCCCTGCCACACCCCAGCCTCAGGTGTGGCTGCGCTCACCTGCAGGGCCTTTCCTTGTTTGGGTGGAGGCTGTGTTGGCCCTCATCAGTTGTGTTGCCTAGGGGGTGTTCTGCTCTCAGGACCGCACTGGAGGGGTGACCCCAGGCACAGCTTGGCAGGTAAACTGCCAGAGGGGAGCCATGGCGCCTGTGGCCTCCTGAAGGTCCTGTTGCCACAGTCACTGCCAAAAGCACGGCCTTTGTGGCTTCTCAGTGGCCCATGGTCCCAGTGGGGGCTAGGTGGTGTCCACATCCTGTGGTGTCATGTACCTGCCTATGTGGCGACCATGTCTCACACTGCTGGGCGTGTGCTGAGGAGGCCAGTCTCCCCGTAGGGCTCCCTGGGGCTGTGGTCAGCCCACTGCTCTCAGCATGGGGGTGAGAGAGCGAGGTGGGGCAGCCTCAGCCTCACCTGGATATACCATCCCTGGATGCCACCAAGGACCACGACCAGCGTTGCTCCCCACAGGGCAGAACGTCCTGGTGTGCCCCCTGCCCCGGATGTCCTTATGCAGCTGTTTCCAGTGTGTCCTAAGGCCGGACGGCCTCGGCCAGCTGTCACCAGGAGAGGAAGACTCGCACTCTCAGAAATAGCCATCTCAGGAGCTGAAACTGTTCACAAGCAGGCATCAGAGCCGGCTTTGATCACGTGATGTGTGATCCTGAATCGGAGGAGTTGCTATGAAGGACTGTGCTGGGACATCTGGCAGAGCTGAGTGTAGACCAGGCACACTCGGCGCCAGCTCAGCAGGGACGGGCAGTCCTCACGGACGTCCTCCTACTGTGGGTGCACACTGAGGTGCTCGGCCGTGGAGCATGACGTCTGCAGTTCACTCCAGCAGTGTGTGCGTGTGCACCCCGAGAGTGAGAGGAGACTGCTAAATGTCAGTCACTGGGGAATCTAGAACACACTTTGGCAAACTTTTCCGATGAAAGGTCAGACAGTGACTATTCTTGGCACTGAATCCATACGGCCTGCGCCTTATCACTCAACCCTGCTGTGTAGCAACAGCAGCTATAAATGACACACGAGTGAACAAGTGCGGTTGTGTGCCAATAAAACTTTATCTACAAAAGTAGGTGGGCCGGATTTGGCCTGAGGGCCATCGCTTGCCGACTGTGTCCTAGAAGGGTGCATTAGAGTTCACTCCCCGTGTAGTTTGGACATCTGTCCCCTCCAGATCCTATGTGGAAATGTGATCCCCAGGCTGAAAGGGGCCTGGCCAGAGGCATTTGGGCTGTGGGAACAGATCCGTTGGGGACGGCTTGGTACCTTCCTCACAGCAGTGACTTCCCACTCTAGGTTCATGTGAGCGCTAGTTCTTTAAAGCAGTGGTACCCAGCCTTTTTGGCTCCTGGGACCAGTTTTTTCCATGGAGAGGGAGAGTGGGTGGTTTCAGGATGAAACTATTCCACCTCAGATCATTAGGCATTGGATTCCCATAAGGAGCATGCAGCCTCGATCCCTAGTTCACAGTAGGGTTCACGCTCCTATGAGAAGCTGATGCCGCTGCAGATCTGACAGGGGATGGAGCTCGGGGGGCAGTGCTCACTCACCTCCTGCTGTGCGGCCTGTTCTAGCCATGGGCCACTCTGGAGGTTGGGGACTCCTAAAGAGCCTGGTGCCGCCTCTCATGCCTCTTGCTAGCGCTCCTGCTGTGTGGCGCACCTGCTTCCCCTCCCTGCAGCCTTTATAGTAACACAGAATGAACTATCACAGTTCCCAATCCTCACATGCTTCCTCTGTGTCTTAGCATCCTGCAGAATTAGCTGCTGGCAGGGAAGAGCCGGCGCCAGAAATCAGGAACGCAGGAATTCGGACACAGGAAAGAAACCAGGGGGCGGGGCAGGTGTCCTCTGCTGTCTGTTGGGATGCACCGGGGAGGGGGGCGGGTGTGGACACAGCTGTCAGGATGGCCCAGGAGACTGGCATGATGCCCTGGTGATGTCTGCGTTTGGTTTGATTTTACTTAAAATAGTATGGTCGTCACTTTCCCTGTTACTGCCAATGGGAAGCATTACCTTTAATGCCCACTCAATGACCAGTTGAATCGAAAAGGCGCAGGTGACTTACCCGCTTCCCAGTGTGGGTATGTGGGCTGTTTTCAACCTAGGTTATTACAAATAATGCCACAATAAATACCTTTTTCATATTTAGGGCCAATAGGATGGACTCCAGATGCGGAATGACACCTCACCAAGTGCTGGCCCCAGGTCCTGCCCACAGAGACGCCTGCAGCAGCGCACAGCTGGCAGGGCCACCTCCACCTCTCTAGCAGCGGGCAGGTGGGTCCTGATCCTACACTCACTTTAATCCTATACTTTGACTTCTAGGGTGGAGGTAGGTGGTGAAGAGCACAGCTCTCAAGTCAGGGCACTTGTGCACTTGACCCTTCACTCTGGAGCTCTGGGACCTTTGCCTCAGTTTCCCCAGGTGTGAAATGGTGATGCTGACAATGCTTAACCGCACAGGGTCTCAGGGAATCTAAAGCCTTAATATTGTTGTCATAAGCACAGCGCTGGATCCTGCCAACTGTGTGACCATGTTAGCTCGCCCATGTGCCAGTGTGCTTAATGAGATCAGCTGTTTGTTCACACACAGAGGGGTGGCCATGCAAGCTGACAGCCTTGGATACCTTTCCAGGGAAGATGAGGGAGCTGGCTTCAACAAAATCACATGGAAAACTACAAAAAAAGGTACATTGGGCCAGACGCGGTGGCTCACACCTATAATCCCAGTGCTTTGGGAGGCCAAGGCAGGAGGATCACTTGAGGCCAGGAGTTTGAGACCTGCCTCAAGACCCTGTCTCAAAAATAAAAGATACATTTTTTTTTTTTTTGAGACAGAGTCTTGCTTTGTTACCCAGGCTGGAGTGTAGTGGCACGATCTTGGCTCACTGCAACCTCTGCCTCCGGGTTCAAGCGATTCTCCTCTCTCAGCCTTCTCAGAAGCTGGGATTATAGGCACGCACCACCATGCCCAGCTAATTTTTTGTATTTTAGTAGAGACAGGGTTTCGCCATCTTGGTCAGGCTGGTATTGAACTCCTGACCTTGTGATCTGCCTGCCTCGGCCTCCCAAAGTTCTGGGATTACCGGCATAAGCCACTGAGTCCAGCCAAAGATACATTTTTTTTTTTTATGTACTTGGAAATTTTCTTTTTTTGAGACGGAGTTTTGTGTTTGTTGCCCAGGCTGGAGTGCGGTGATATGATCTTGGCTCACTACAACCTCCGCCTCGCCAGTTCAAGTGATTATCTTGCCTCAGCCTCCCAAGTAGCTGGAATTATAGCTGCCCACCACCACACCCAGCTAATGTTTTGTATTTTTAGTAGAGATGGGGTTTTATCATGTTCCCCAGGCTGGTCTTGAACTCCGGACCTCAAGTGATCTGCCCTCCTCAGCCTCCCAAAGTGCTGGGATTACAGGTGTGAGCCCCCATGCTTGGCCTGGAAATTTTTTTTAACATTTATGGTTATGAGAAAAAACACACAACCAAACCAAACCAGTCTGCCATCTTTTTTGCCCCTATCATTTGGCACAAGACAGTTGAACTCTTGACATCACAACAAGACCAAGAACTGAAGCCAGGCCTTCTAGGCTGAGCTCTGCTTTGGTGTTTTGTTGTCTAAATGAAGCTCATATTCCAGGAAGAGAAAACCTAAATGACCCAAGTCAAAGAAAAAACAATGAAAGTTATAAAACACTTAAAGCTCAGTGATCATGTGACTTAACAGAGCGCCTGAGGCAGCGGAAGCCAAGGGCAGGGTCCAGCCCTGCGTGCCTCTGTCGCTGTTAGGAGAGGAGCTGGGAGTCAGGAGGGAAGTACCCGGTGTAACAGGTAGAAAAAGAAGGCCGGGCTCAGTGGCTCACACCTGTAATCCAAAGGCAGGTGGATCATGTCAAGACCAGCCTGACCAACATGGTGAAACCCCGTCTCTACTACAAATACAAAAATTAGCTGGGTATGGTGGTACATGCCTGTAATCCCAGGTACTCAGGAGGCTGAGGCAGGAGAATTGCTTGAACCCGGGAGGTGGAGTTTGCAGTGAGCCAAGATCACCCCACTGCACTTCAGCCTGGGCAACAAGAGCAAAACTCCGTCTCAAAAGAGAGAAAGAAAGAAAGAGGGGGGAGAGAGAGAGAGAGAAAGGCCAAACAAGCTCCCAATGGAAAGGAGGAAATTAATAAAGTCACTTTTTAATACAATTGACAGCAACAGACATCCTTGAGAGGACAGAAGAGCTAAGAGTTGGTTCTTTGAAAGAACTATTAAAATTGACATCCTCTGCCAAAATGACCAAGACAAAGAGAAGGAGCAAATCAACCATTAGGAATGGGAAGGAAGGACCATTCAGCCACATCCGACGCTGAAAAGGTGAGAAAGCCCTGTGCTGACGAAGTGAGAACTCCACCGTCACAGCTGGGCCGTGGGAGGAAGGTCACGTGGCAGCCCAGCTAGAGGAGACCCACAGAACCCACAGCTGTTACAGACATTGTGTGGATGGTTCTCAGTCTTCCCAAAGAAGACCAAGTTCAGGTGCTTTGCAAGTGAGTTCAAGAAACAGAGAACTCCAGTTTTACCCAGACAAGAAACACACCCTGTGTCATCTTATGAAGCTAGTATAATCTGGATATCAAAATTCCAGTTAAGTGTCAGTCATACACATGTACGTGAAGAAAGGTACCAAGCACTTGCAGGCCAGGCACTGGCTCACGCCTGTAATCCCAGCATGTCGGGAGGCAAAGGTAGGAGGATCAGTTGAGCGCAGGAGTTTGAGAGCAGCCTGGGCAATGTAGATTTCATTTCTAATAAAAATTAAAAATTTGGTGTGATGGAGTGTGCCTAGGTCCCATATACTTGGAAGGCTGAGGCAGGAGGATCAGTTGAGCCTGGGAAGTGGAAGCTTCAGTGAACTGTGATTGTACCACTGCAGTCTGTCCTGCAAATGTGAGCAGGAGTGATGGACGCCTCTTCCAGGCCCGGCCTCCTGAATGTTCCTGTGATCATCCACTCTCCTCCCTTCCTGCGACTTAAAGAGAAGGACTCTGAGATGGCAAAGCCACACACCAAGGGAAGGAGCCGTGTCCTGGAGTCGCCCCCGGGAGAGCCTCAAGACCCCATTGTGATGTGAGCCAGAAGTGAAGCCTTCCCAAGCAAGACGCTGAGATTCGGAGGTTCTGTTATCCCAGCCACCGTTACCTACCCTGACTACTGCAGCCACAAACGACACTCGTTCAGAATGTGTGCAGCATTCATAGGAACCAGGATTTTTAAAGACAAATATCTAAATAGAAAAATGACCAGAACAGGAGTTCACGAACAGCTAAGCAACACAGCGAGACCCCATCTCTAGAAAAAAGAAAAATGGGCAGAAGTCACAGAAGAAAACATGCATGGCTCATAAATACCTGAAAACATTCGCGGTCTCTAACAAGGAGCATGAAAACATGCGCATGCAGTCTCTAACAGGGAGCACGGAAAACATGCCCAGTCTCTAACAGGGAGAAAGGGAAATGTGCGAGGTCTCTTAACAGTCAGGGAGCACGGAAAATGTTCCCAGTCTCTAACAGTCAGGAAGCACAGAAAACGTGCGCTGCCTCTAACAGGGAGAATGGGAAACATGTGAGGTCTGTAACAGGGAACACAGAAAACGTGCGCGGTCTCTAATAGTCGGGGAGCACAGAAAACATGTGGGGTCTCTAACAGGGAGCGCAAGTTAAAACAACAAAGATACCCAGTTTTGTGCCCCCAGTGAAGTAAAGACGGACAAGTCTGATCATGGCATGGACAGGGCAGGAGCCCTCCTCACCGCCACAGCGCTGGGCGGCAGCACATGTCTAGAGAGCAGTCTGGCAAAGGTGAAGACGTGCGTTCCTGCCCCCAGGAGCCACCTGTTTACTTCCCCTTGAGAAAGGTGTATGCACGCAGCCAGAGACAAAATAACATTCACGGTGTGTGCTATCAGAAAAGCCAGAAAGAACCCACATGCCTGTCCACAGCAAAGCGGGTAAATCATGGTGTGTCGACCAAGGGAAGCTGTTGGCGCAGTGACCGCGCAGCTGGCCAGGACCCGCGTCAACACCTACGCATGCCAGCTTCAACAGTGAGCAGAGAATGTAAGGCACAGAAGACACACGGTGCGATTCTAACCACCGCAACGTTCAAACCGAGCAAAGCTAAACAGTGTGTGGTTTGGGGTCACGTGGTAGAACTGTAGAGAAGAGCAAAGCATGGTTCATGCGGAACTCAGGACGGGCGGGCACAGGGCATGGGCTCTTGGGTGGTGTCTGGCTCTGAAACCGATGGAGGGTGAGTGGGCATTTGCTGTAGGTGCTTCAAGGATCATATCATGTACACTCAGCTTACCCGTCTGACACCCTCCCCCCATCCTAAAGGCTTTTAGGAAAGAGGAAGCACTTCCTCCTGAAGCTGGTGCCATCCAGGCCTGGGGTGCACAGGCCTAACACCCGCTCCACACTCCCACTGATCCGAGGCCCCCACCTGGCCTCTGTCTCCTGCAGGTGCCTGTTTCCAGCCCAGGCAGTTCTCTTGCTTTCATGGTGTGGTCCTTACCAGCAGAGGAACCAGGTAATAACTGCACTTCTCACGTACTCAGAGATGTTTCTCGTCCTTTTCAGGCTGGTAGAGCAGATTAGCCCCAAAGCAGGAAATTCCAGATGAAATATGCATAAGAAGCAGCCTCAAAACTAACAAAAAGAAATTGCCTGCTCCTCAGTTCACAGGAGGAGCAGAGATGAAGAAAAAGAAGAAAAGCGCTCGGAAGAGAGAAAAGGAAGCTCCTTCTGCGCAGCGGGCTCCTGGCCCGGGAAGGGTGGTCTGCAGCAGAGTGCGTGCAGGGAGGCACCCTCTGAAATGTCTGGAAATAGCTGCAGGGCTTTCACTTGGCTCCCAAACTTCTTCAGAGGTCCAAATCATCACAGTGGCCAACTTGGCAGCAGTGACCTCGGCACTCCGTGTCCTCAGGCTAAAACAAAGCCATCCTACTTGGGCAGTGAGAACATGGGGCGGGGGCTCCTGACTCCAGTGAGGCCTCCCTGGAGGGGAGTCCCAGGCATCAACCTGATGTTCAGAACCTTCCTGGCATCTCAGAAATGTACTGGGGAGACTGAGGATCCTTGAGCCAAGTGTCCGTGTTCTCATTGAACATAAAACCCACAGCCCACAAGCTTCTCAGGAGCATGGCACATGCACCCAGCCCCCAGGCTCTGCCTGGGCAGCACCTCCTGGGCCGCCCTTACCAGCAGACACCACCCGCCCAGCCTCACTTGGCCATCCTGACAGGCACCGTCTACCCAGCCTCGCTCGGCCGCCCTGACCAGTTGGCACCATCTACCCAGCCTCATTTGGCCGGCCAGGCTCTGCGGGCCTGAGAATGCAGAGAACCTCCAAATGTTGTGACTTTGCTCTGTGCGTCCTTTGTGCAAGCATTTGTGAGCTATGCCAGCATCTGTCCCCAAAGGCCTCATCCCTGAGCCAATTCTCAGGAGAGCAGTAAGTGGGTACAGGGAGGGGGGCTCCCAGCCAGCCCCAGGACTGGAGGTCTGGGGACGATGCCAGCCGCTCTGGCAGAGCCCTCCTCATCTGGGCCTCTGTTCCTTTTCCACACCAGGAAGCAGAAAGGTCAATCAGCGACTTAGGCCTGTTGGCTCTGGCGGGGTTCACCTGCGTTTCTGGGGAGCCCTGGGTGTACCTGGGCTCTGTGTCCAGTGATCTCTCCTATGGGTCCCCGTTTTGGGCACTGAAATGTTTCTTTCCTGTGAATGAGCTGATGTCAAAACCTGCTATAGAGGAAGACGGGCCTTGGGGGCAGTGTCTCCAGGGGAGCAGAGCTGAGGCAATGGCCAGCAGGGTGTCTCCAGGGACTAGGGAAGATGGGGCGTGCTCCAGATCAGCCGGCAGGGAGCCCCAGGCCTGCAGAGCCTGGTGTTGGCGCTCTCCTGTTTCCTCCAAAAACCCAGCCATGCAGGGAGCCCGACCCAAGCAGACGGCCCCCACCTTGGCAGAATCCCCAGGACTGTGCATGGCGGTGGGGGTGACTCCACAGTTGGGACCGGGCCTGATGCTGCTGTCCCTCAGTCACCCCTGCAGTGGGCTCAGGGCAGGGCTCCGGCCTGATGGGGGATCCTGGACGCACCTCTGAGCCGGCAGCCCCTACCCCCACCCACACGCCTGCACCTTCACGCCTGTCTCACCCTGGGGCCCAGGTGCAGGTTTGTGGGGAGCACAGCGCAGTGTTCCCATGACCTCTGCTCAGCCAAGTAGATTCAGTGAGGGTTTTCCATTTGTACCTGTCCCCATGTGCCTGTTTCCTGGTGAGGCTGGACGCCCAGCATGGCCGAACACTCCCGTTCCCCAGGCACGCATGTGCAGCGGCCGCCACGCGTGCACTGTGACGCTGACCCCCCGTAACAGCCGCGGTATTGGCCTTGCACTGGTGGCAGATGTTGTCCTGTTTCCCACTGTTACTTCTGTTGTCTGAAAGTTTGACCGTCCTGCCAGCCAAAGCTGTTGAGCTTTACTCCGACAGACCATCTGTCCTTCGTGAGCACCCTGTGCATTTGGGAAAAGCATCCACTTGTTTTCAGCCACGTTTCCTGTGACTTGCACTGCGTGTGTCCTCCTCTGTCTTCTGTGGTTCCCAGGCGGGCCCACCTGCCCACTGCTGACGCCTGCCTTCCCTGGTGCTTGCTGGCTTCTGTGTTCTCTGCAGTAAACATGGATTTCTGACTCGAGTGCTGTCTTTCATTGATCTCTGCACTTTGGGGATGCAGTCAACATCCCCCATGAAGGCTACCAGCTTCCTCCTCCCAGGGAACAGTGCAGGGGCCGCTTCCCAGGCCCTCAGGACTATGGGACCCTGGCTGATGGCTGCCTCCAATGGGTCTCCTCAGGACCCCGGGACCCTGGGTAGTCACTGCCTCCGATGGGTCTCCCCAGGACCCCGGACCCTGGGTAGTCACTGCCTCCGATGGGTCTCCCCAGGACCCCGGACCCTGGGTAGTCACTGCCTCTGATGGGTCTCCCCAGGACCCCGGACCCTGGGTAGTCACTGCCTCCGATGGGTCTCCCCAGGACCACCCCCTATTAGCCAGACTCACAGGAGACTGACACATACATCAGAGAGTTGTTCACTAACGATGGGAGCAGCCCCTTTTCAGTGCGGAAATACCCTCACGCCTTTCTGGCCCCAGAGATCTGGGAAGCTAAGGGTTCATTCAGTGGCCTAGTGCCCGCTCTCAGGACGCCCCACAGGAGGCCTGGGGGTGCTGAACGCCTTCCCGAGGCCCTGTCATCAGGCCCTCTGAATTCCAAACAGCTCTCGGGTTTGTCTGGTCCTCTGTTCCCTGGGTCACGTTAGGGCAGTTGCTCTCAACCAAGGGCACTTCTGCCCCCTGGGGGCCACCCAGCAATGTCCGAGACAGTGTTGGCGGGCACAGCTGGGCAGGGTCCCTCCGGAATCTGGTGCGCAGAAGTGGGGGTGTGTAGGTATCCTGCCCAGATGCCAACAGTGCCCCGGTGAGAGATACAGATTTAGTCTCCGTGACAATGAAGGAAAGGACCGGAAAGGTGGCTCTCAAGGCCCCAGAGAATAGCCCAGAGATGCCCGAGGTTCCAGAAGCTGGAAAGGCGCGGAGCGGTCGCTCCTACAGAAACACGCCTCTGCGGTGGCTGGAGATGTGAGGACTGGTGATGCCTTCGCACATCTGACCAGAACCCCCCCAGCTCTCCTTCCCCCGCAACCAGGCCAGCAAGGCAACGCAGAGGCCGGCTTGGCAGGATGGCAGCTGATGAGAGGCATGCGCGCTCCACTTCCTTTCTCCACTTGAGGACAACACCCAGGTGGCCCTCGTCTCTGCCCCACCCACCCCGGCCTAAAGCTTCCTCATCTGCATCCTGGCCTGGGACTCAGGAGGCCTTCTCTGTCCACCGCCAGCTGTGTCACGTGCAGGGGACTGCAGCCACTGACCCCCTCTCCCTTCTGTCCTGCTCTCCTCTACCCCACAACCCCAGGTGGATCTTACAGTGCATGCCGGCTCTCCTCCCTCCCTCCCTCCCTGCAGACCCCTGTGCCCCACAGTGCCCTGAGAATGATGTCTGAGCCCCCAGTGGAGGCTACAAGGCCGCTGAGTCCGTCCATCCCTGTCTGTCCTCTTGTTCACCACCCTCCCCCGCCTGGTCTTCCAAACAAGCCCCAGGCCACTCAGACCTCTGCCCGTGCGCCTCCTGCCCAGTGTGCCCCTCTTGCCTTCTGCCGCCTCCCCTCCCTCCTTCCTGCTCCCACCCCATCTCTCCCTGATGCTGCCCCTTAGAGAAGCCTTCTTGAACCTTAAGCTTAAGTGCTCCTCTGAGCCCCTAGTCTCCAGGTGTGATCTAGGAAAAGCTCTCAACCCTCATACTCCATTGGCTCCGGGGCTCTGACCAGCCCTCCTGCCAGGAAAGCTTTGTCTCTAGGGACCACTAGAGACAAGGGCACTGCCTGTCCAGATAGCACCCAACGCCAGCAGCACTGGCTGGAGCAGGCCAGGCCTGTGCAGGTATCTGATCGGGCACTGAATTCCCTGATCTCAACAAAAGAAGCCTACGGAGGCCTTTTCTAATTCACAGCCCAAGAGGGCAGGCAACGGGCCTGGGGGGCTTTGGGTCAACTCCCACAGCTTAAGGCCAGGGGCTCTGGGGTTGTTTGGGCTCGAACCCCCATCCCCCAGCATAAGGAATACCAGCTCATTATTGCAGTGAGTGCCCAACAGAGCCCTGCTGGAGGCGAGGAGCCGGAACCTGCAGCCGCAGCAGACCCGGCTGCTGGCTCTGGGCTGATTATATCAGCGGGCCCGCACTCCCTCCAGAGCCCTGCCCATCACCTTCACACCTCCCTGGTGGGGAAGCAGGTTCTTCCCCTCAGATCACACCTATTCGCTTCTCCCTTCACTCCTGTGAGCCAGCCAGGATGAGGATCTGTCCAAGGGTCCTGGGGAGTGAGGCGCCCCATGGCTCCTCATGGGTCAGCCGACATGGATGGCAGCTTCAGTGACTCACGTCCTGTGATTCGCTGGATGCGGGGGGAGCTGGTGACAGCAGCCTGTGTGTGACAGAACGTCAAGAACTGTATACAGACACACAGCTGCCCCCAAAATTGAGTGCACAGCCCAGTGCACTAAGTGCGCACAGCGCGGTGCAATGCGGCTGCAGCCTGTGACCGAGTCAGTTGCGCCGTCTGCCGCTCTCCTGGTGTAGGCTCTGTGTCCATTTGCACCGCTGTAAAGCAAGACCTGTGGCTGGGCCAGTTACAGAGAAAAGAGGCACCAGGTGCGGCAGCTCATGCCGGTTATCCCAGCACTTCGGGAGGCCGAGGTGGGTGGATCACCTGAGGTCAGGTGCAGGGCTGTTGGCCCCACAGGGTCATGGGGTGTCCCTTATGCTGTGCTGAGGTGCAGGATCTGAGAAGTAGAAACAGGACACTGAAGAACTGGAGAAGAGCATCTGGACTCGGGGGGCCACGCCACCTATGAGCAGAGACAGGCGAGGCCCCGAACACTCAGAAGCATCTGCATTTATTAGGTACGAGCAGGGGGCAGGGTCGTGAGAGAGGTCATCATCTATAGGCTTAGTGATAGGGCATACATAATCACAATCACGTGCGTCACAAGCAAGGGGGCCACCCCATTATGTCACCTGGGCAGAGACGTGGGCTGTGCACAGTAGGGGGCTGTGCCGTGCGCAGTAGTAGAGGGTCATCTACAGAAAAGGGGTCCACCCCCAGTAGGTCACCGAGGCAAGGAGGTGGGCTGTGTGCAACAGGTGTCGTGCGCAACACTTCTTATCTGGGGTTTGGAGCCTTCAAAGGGTTTCTAACCGAAGGATACTGTAAGCCAATGCAGTGGGAGCTGACAGACACTTAAGATATTTATGGGAGGATGATTTGAGCTAGCACAGAAGTGAGAAGACTGACAGGGTGTCCAGCCACCGTGACTGGTCACACAGAGGGGTTCTTCTCCCTCGGTTACTTCCAGGATCTCAGGCCTGAGGTCTACTTTCCACAGGAACTGGATGCGAGGTGCTACAGCTCCTCTATCAGGAGGAGAGGCTCCTGCTCCAAGCCTGCCATACAGCGTGTGCCCTTTCAGGCAGGGACACCACCGCCTGAGTCTTTGGTTCTCGTCCTGGTCTGCCTGTTTTCCCATGTACTGCTTCTGTTCTGTAACTGCTCTAGGCATTCCTCCTACTACAGACTACTATGTGGTTCTATGGAAGGATTCTGTAAGTCAGCACTAAATGTGTCGGTACAGCTCCGACTACATCCGTTATATGATTATTTAGAAAGATTATATGTAACTAAGCATGATTATATATACATAAGCTAGATATAGTAAGCAGTGAGTTATTACATGATTATATAGAAAGATTATATGGAACTAAGCATGATTATATATAAGGTAGATATAGTGATGATTATATATAAGGTAGATATAGTAAGCAGTGGGTTATACTTCAGGCACTAATTGTGCCTGGGGTCTGCACAGTTCTCCTTCCTCGGTGCCCATGGAGGGTGTTACCCACAAGAGAGCAGCCCGCAGCTCCCACATGCTCTGTTCGCACTGGCAGTCTTGGCTTTTCTTCTGTGATTCCATTTTATTTTATTGTGTGTGTAAATATGTGTGTGTGTGTGTGTGTGTGTGTGTGTGTGTGTGTATTTGAGACAGAGTCTTGCTCTGTCACCCAGGCTGGAGCGCAGTGGCATGATCTCAACTCACTGAAACTTCTACCTCCTGAGTTCAAGCAATTCTCCTGCCTCAGCCTCCTGAGTAGCTGGGATTACAGCAAAGGGTCCGTTCCCATTAGGTCATCGAGGCAAGGGTCGTGTGCAGTAAGGGGTCCACCCCCATTAGGTCACCGAGGCATGGAGGTGGGCCGTGCACAGTGAAGAGGCTGCAGTGGGCACTACCTCTATCTATGGGCATACTACTTCTAAGAAGATCTATAGGAGGACACTTAAGTCACACAGCAGTGACAGAGCTGTCAGGGTTACCGCCACCTGCCGGCAGCTTCCAGTGAATTCTATAGGGGAATGCTTTTTGAGGGAGCACAGGACCAAGAGCTGATAAAGTTCAGTCACCAAGGTGTGATTATCCAGAGGGGTTTTGAGCCCTCAGATGCTTGAGGGATTGCCAGTCTGAGGGCAGCCCTCCACAAGAACTGGAGCAAGGTCCTACAACTCCTTTATCAGGAGGAATGGCTCTCGCCCCAAGCCTGCCATACAGCGGGTATCTTTAGGATACTGAATGCTGCCGCCTGGGCCATGGATTCTTGTCCTGGTATAACTGTTTGCCCTTAAATCATGCTCTGCACTGTGTCTGCTCCAGACATTCCTCTGACTATAAGCTGCTTATTCCTTAATTCATGCTCTGTACTGTGTCTGCTCTAGACACTCCTCCGATTATGAACTAACATATATATGGAAATAACTGAGCGGCAAGACTATAAACTGAGATATTCTTCAGATCTTAATTGTGCCAGGATATTGCTTAGCTCTCCTTCCTCGATGCCTATATGGTGGGTTACCCACAAGAACTCATCACCAAAGGGAGGGCACCCAGCCACGCATGAGGGATTCCCCCCATGACCCAAACATTTCCCACCCACCCCAACATCAGGGATCACATTCCCACAGGAGATTTGCAGGGGCTCACCTCCAAACAGTATCAGGTATAGTTCTAGTTCTCTTTTCTTTTTTTTTTTTTTTTTTTTTTGAAACACAGTCTCTGTCACCCAGGCTGGAGTACAATGATACAATCTCGGCTCACTGCAATCTCTGTCTCCTGGGTTCAAGTGATTCTCCTGCCTCAGCCTCCTGGGTAGCTGGGATTACAGGCATGCACCACCACGCCCAGCTAATTTTGTATTTTTGTAGAGATGGGGTTTCACCATGTTGACCACGCTGGCTTTGAACTCCTGACCTTGTGATCCACCCACCTCGGACTCCCAAAGTGCTGGAATGACAGGCGTGAGCCTCCGCAGCTGGCCAGATGCAGTGCTGGTTCCTCAGGCTGTTCCAGGCTGGGGCTCTTACGACAAGACCGCTGCGAGCGCGCAGGCACAGACTTCCCCACGAACATCAGTTTCCACCCAAGAGTGACACACTCAGTCCTATGGTAGGTTTGCTTAGAACTTTTTTTTTTTTTTCTCTGAAACCAAGTTGTTGCTCTTGTTGCCCAGGCTGAAGGGCAGTGGTGTGATCTGAGCTCACTGCAACCTCCGCCTCCTGGGTTCAAGTGATTCTCCTGCCTCAGCCTCCCGAGTACCTGGGATTACAGGCGTGCACCACCATGCCCGGCTAATTTTGTATTTTTAGTAGAGATGGGTTTCTCCATGTTGGTCAGGCTGGTCTTGAACTCCCAGGTGATCTTGAACCTCACGTGATCCACCTGCCTCGGCCTCCCAGAGTGCTGGAATTACAGGTGTGAGCCACCGCACCCGGCCCTACTCATAGCTTCTTAAGAAACTGCCAAGCCGATTTCCAGAACGGCAGCACCACCTTGTCTTCCCACCAGTGATGTCCAGAGTTCCGGCTGCTCCGAGACCTTGGCGATGCTTGGCCCTTAGCAGTTTTTACCTGAGCCACCTGGCAGCTGTGCCAGGCACCCACCTCGCCGCTGGCTGGCCCTTCCCTGGCAGCCATCTCTTCCCGAGCCTACTGCTCTCCCCAGCTCCTGTCCAAGCCGTCACCTCGGCCCAGCATCTTCTGCACCCCATCGACCTGGGGGCTCCTTCTCTGCTCACACAGCCCTGAGCGCCCACCCTGGCACCAGGCAGCTGCTGCCCATCTGCAGGCTGCCCGCCCTCTGTTCCCGCGCCCCTCCAGCTTGGGCGTCTCCTGGCCTCGGCTCTCTGCACCTCTGCTCAAACGGGGCAAAGAACCCTCCCCCGGCCGTTTATTTTTCCCAGAAAGAAGTGACCATTTTTTCTTTTCGGGTCGGAAGCACAGGACTGAGGGAGACACTGGCTGAACAAGAGGAAAATGAGGAAGCAGCCCGTGGAGGGACTTTGGGGAACCCGGGGACGCCCCTGGAGGGCAGGCAGATTCGGGGGCGCCGGGGCCCCCGCGAGGGGAACGGGGGGTCGCGCGTCTGGCAGCGGTTCCCGGCGGCTGGTGGCCATCGCGGCGGACACATCCCGAGCAGGGAACCCGGGAGGGCGGCGGGGTGGCCTCGCGAGCTGAACGTGGAAGCGCCTGCAGCCGAGAACTCCGGGGCCTGCCGTGCACGGAGGGGCCGCGGGCAGCGTGGGGACCGCGCCGGCAGCTCCCGAAGCCCGGGCCTGGGCGCGCGCACGAGCGCCGGGCCCCCAGCTGGCTCCCGGCGCTGCAGGGCGGGCGTCAGGAACAGAGCTCCGCTGCCCCGGCCACCCACGCAGCGCCGCTCCCCGCGCCCCGGCGCTCTGCAGGCGCGGGCGGGATCCGGGCCCGCGTGGACGCGGAAGCCACGCTCGGGCGCGGCCCACGAGGGGCGGGGCGGGGAGGGGCGGGGCGGGGCCTCCTCTTGGCTCCCGGCCCCGCCCCCACGCGGCCACCGAGGCTTGCGGTCCTCCCGAGTCCCAGAGCGCCCCGGAAGTGCGCGCCGGCCGGGCGGAGTGGGGCGGGGCCGGGCACTTCCGGCCGGCGCGCGGCGGCTTCCTCCCGCTCGGAAGGTGAGTGGGCGCGGGCGGCGGCGGCGGCGGTGGCGGCTCCGGGCGCCCGGAAGCAGCCCAGTCCGAGCTCGCGCACCGTTCTCCGCGGTGCAGCCCCGCCCAGCCGGGCAGTGCCGCCCTTGCAGCCGCCGCTTGCCGTGACCTTGGCCTCGGGCCGGTCCCGGGGAGCGGGGTGGGCTTCTGAGGGTGGTCGCGGGGCAGCAGCGGACCCCCCCAGCCCACTGGCCGTGGCGGTCGCGGGTGTCCGTTCTCAGAGCGCCTTTCCCAGGCACCCGGTGAAGGTAGCTGTCGTCGTCCCCATTCTGCAGATGGGAAACTGAGGCCCGGAGGTCCCGCCACTCGGGAGCGTGGAGCAGCCGGACCCCAGCGCAGCACCGCCGGGCAGACGCGCTCTGCGCCGAGCTCCCGGCGATCGGGCCCGCTCCCCCGCGGCTGGGAACCGAGGGGCGGAGATGCTTCCCCCGGGCCGCTGGCAGGAGTGCCCCCTCCGCCTTCAGCCTGGAGCTCAGAGTTTGTGCGTCCGTGGTGGCAAAGGGGCGTCTACCCTGTGACGGCCGCCTCCGCCCAGTCCTGGGGGCCCAGCCAGGGTCGGGGTGATCTAGCAGGCCCTTTTACCAGATGTCCCCAAAAGTTGGCCAAGTAACTTGAGATGTGACTTCAGGGTGGAGGACCTGCGCCCAGAGTCACGCCTGCAGCCCCACCCTGTGTCCACTTCCCCTGGCGGCCCGACCCTTCCCACCATTAGGGGATGGAGGCTGGCCCAGTGGCCGGGCACTGGGGTGGCGGCCGTGTGGGAACTGCCTCTCCCACTTCCTCCAGGCAGGCACTGTCTGCTGTCCTTAGATCTGAGTCTCCGTTAACTTTTGTCCGTTCTTCCCGTTCCTTTCTTCACTCCCTGCCCCAGATAAGGAGTTCCTACTCTAGCACCGTGTGAAAGAAAAGTCACTTCTCACACTGGACTCAAGCCATTTTTGCAAACCAAACTAAGAAATATCTTGGAGCCCTGAGTGAGTCTCCCAGTGCTGCGGCAGGGCTGGGCGAGAGGTACCAGCCTGCAGCCTCTGAGGACTCTGTTAGTGTCTGAGGAAGAGGGTTCCCCTGTCTGGAAATGCCTCCCCTCTGCTGTTCAGGAAAAGCCTTGCTAAGATTTTCTCCAAAACACTCATGCGCCAGCAGGCATATTTCGGTTTTCAGCCCTCCCACAGGCCAGAGCAACTGAGGTTTTTCTGGAAGACTCCATCTGCCTTTCTCTGGGGGAGGGGTGACGCCATGGGTTGGAAGGAGATGCCAGAGCCTATGCTGGGACAGGAGCTTTGCTTCAGCAGGTCTGCTGTGCTGCCCAGGCAGTGGCCACTTCCTAAGAGTTCCTTCCAAAGCTGTTTTTTTTTTTTTTCTTTTGAGATTTACTCTTATCACCCAGGCTGGAGTACAACGGCAGGATCTCAGCCCACTACACCCTCCACCTGGGCTCAAGTGGCTCTCCTTCCTCAGCCTCCCAAGTAGCTGGGATTACAGGCACCTGCAACTGTGCCTGGCTTATTTTTGTATTTTTAGTAGAGATGGGGTTTTACCATTTAGCCAGGCTGGTCTTGAACTCCAGACTTTGTGATCCACCTGCCTCGGCCTCCCTAAGTGCTGGGATTTCAGGTGTGAGCCACTGCGCCCAGCCACTCAGAGTTATTCCTTACTGGATAAACGTGCCAAGTCCCCAGACTGCCAGAAACACCAGGCCTGTGTGTGCCTGTGGGTTCACCCTCCGTCCTTGCTCCTCCTGGAGTGGAGGAGCCTTCGTCTCCCCTGGGAGCTGGCATGCTGCCTCCTGCACTGCCCCACATTCTCTCCACCCCTCATCTGCCATGCTTTTCGTTTTCCCCAGGTCCCAGGTGTGACACCTTCAGCAGGTCTCAGGGAAGATGGCAGCCCCAGGGGACATTCCAGAGTCCCCCTCTGTCCCATCCCCTGTCAGTCTTTCATCACCAGGGACACCGGGAGCCCAGCACCACGAGCCTCGACTTCTCCTCCGTGGGCATCAACATGGTACTCACCCGCCTGCCGTGTGCCCTCCGCCCTGCATCCCCTGTCCACGTCTCTTGCCCCGTCTCCTTCTGACCTGCCACTCTGGCTGGCTAAGAGGTGCCTCCAGACAGACACCTGTGTAGCTCTTTGAGCAGCTGAGGCTCCCACACCCTCAGGCTGGGGCTGGGCACGGATCGGATCGGGTTGGGTTGGGGCTGGGGCTCTGGCTTCCTAGGCATGGCTCCCCCCATTCTGTTTGTTTCCTGAGTTGGGGTATAGGAGGGAAAGTGACCTCAAAATCTGGGTCCAGCATGTCCGGGAGCAAGGTGTCTTCCCTCGGAGTCTTTGTCATGCAGAAATGGAGCGGCCATAGTCCCTGCCAAGCTGGTTTGGGTGTCATCACCGCTGGCCTTGCTCCACCTCCAATGGGGTGGCCTCATGGTCACATGGCAGGCTCTGGAAGTTGAGGTGTGGGGGAGTCCCAGCCCTGTGGTACCCGGGCTCTGTTCCCTCTCAGAGGTCAGCGACCCTGAGACTCCATCTCTGCTGTGTGTCCCACAGGAGGCCTGGCCTACAGCCCCATGGCCCAACCCAGCACCTGAGCTGCTGACAGCAGGGGCAAGGCCCCACATAGGTCAGGCCTGGAGAGCCAGTGCCTGGCCCAGGAACAGGGGCAGCCTGGCACAAGGCTCTCCCTCTTGGGGAGTTGGGGTCCTGGTGGCTGAAGGGACCGCTGAGGCTTGTGGAGAGCAGCTGCGCTGCATGGGGCCCTCAGGTGGGCACTCAGATGGGGACAGAGAGGCCAGGGGGCTCCCCCGGGGAGCCAGGACCAGGGTGAGTTGGAGGAACAGGGAGCCAGCTGGCTTGGGATCCACTCCCCCAAGGAGCAGAAGCCTGCAGGCATGCCATCTCTGCTGCTGTGTCCTGAGCAGCTCCCCAAGGACTGCGAGGAGACCGGGAAGAGGCGCCCACGGGCTGCCTGTCCTGGCCAGGGGCTACCTGGAAGGATCCCAGGCCACCACAGCACACGCTGTGCCAGGCCATGGCTGGGCCCCCACCCATGCCCCCAAGGACTGTGCCCCTCATCCCTCGCTCAGTCAGAATCTCAGGGCCGCACTTGGCATCTCATGTCACCTGTAGACAGCTGAGGGGAGTCCTCCAGTCCTGTTACCAGTGGGGACATGGAAGCCCAAAGGCTGGCAGAATTCACTCTGCATCCATCTGACTCAGCCCACGCCCTGGCAACCCCCCTGGGTCGGGCGAGATGTGGCTCCTCTAGGGGGCCTGTGTGAGTGAGGACAGCCCAGCAGATCATCTTGGGGCAGTACAGGACACAGGCTGAGGGGGACTGCAGTCCGGGTTCTGCAGGATAAGAAGCTGATGCCCAGGCAGAGGCTGGGCCTAGGGCTCGTGGAGGGGCTGGGGCCAGGCCCCCTGAGCATGCAGGGCTGCACTACCCCCGGCCCTGTCTCCACCAGCCATGGGCAGCCTGGCCCAGAAAACTAGGCATGGGTCGCCACCTCCACAGGCCTGGAAGCCTCCTGGGCACTGGAGCCACAGCCCAGTGCCCTGAAACCCCCAGGGTTCTGCCTCGAAGGAGGGAGTGGGGGCTGCACCCACAGCTTCCACCCTCCCCTGCTGTGCCGGAAACAGGACACAGGTGTGGCTGCTTCCCCGCAGGAGGAGATTGTGACAGAGGCACAGTGGGGCCTGGGAAGGCTGGCAGGTAACCAGAGCAAATGAGGGGTGACCCCCGTGTAGAGAGAACGGGGCCAGGCCTCGGCGATGGGCGGCTCCTGTCCCAACTTCCAAGCAGTCAGTGAAGGCAGGAGCTGCCTCTGGGAGTTTCCAGCTTCCTCTGCTCTCTGGGAATGCCCGGGGCCACAGATTCGTGAGCCAGGGATACCTTGGTGTTTCTGGAACTTGCTCAGGGCCGTTCCACCAGTTAGGGGCCAAGCCAGAACTTGGAGCCGCAGCCTCCCGATGGCCAGGCGAAGTCTGCAGTGGCTAGACCAAGGTTCCCCGGGGCTGCCCAGGCACACGTCACCTCAGCAGCCTCTGGCTGCACTGCTGGGCACCAGGCTGTGAGGTGTCGGGGAGCAGGGCAGGTCCCAAGGAGGAGCCATTTGTCAGCGGGGAGGGTAGTGAAGGGCATGGGGAGTGGCAGGGTGAGCTTCTCTGCAGTGCCTCCTGCCGTCATGAAGCTGGGGTCCCACAGCTTGAGGCCATGACCTAGCCCAAGTCTCACAGCAGCAAGACCAGGCAGCTGGGAATGGGCCACAGTTCCTCATCTCCCAGGACCTCTGTGGTCCCCATGGAGACACAGATCAGGAGCTGGGCTTGGGGACAGAGGATCCCAGCACAGCTCCTAGGAACTGTGTTGTGCCCAAGGCCACGCCTACCAGAGCCAAAGCTGCCTGAGCGAGTTCTGGAAGGTTTGCCTAGGAGTCCTGCAGGTGGAAGGGCAGTCTGTGGGCAGGAGGACGTGATGGAGGGGAGCTTGTAGCCCTGTGGGGGTTACTGAGTGCACAGCCTGGCAGGGAGGAGCCCATGGGCAGGGCAGGGTCACCCCGAGACAGACACAGCATCTTTCCACATGGAGTGCTTAGCCCTGGCACCAGAGAGCTGGACTCTAGGTACTCACTGACCACCCCCAGCTATGTGAGCGCCTAGCTTGCTCCTCTAATTCACCCTGGTCCGGGCCCAGGCACACAGCACTCACTGTGCCATCTCATATACAAAGAAAAGCCTTTGCAGCCAGGAAAGCAGCCGCCTCCTGCCTGTCCCTGGACATGCACAGCCACCTCACTTCCACATGGAAGACCAGCCCCAGCAGGTGGGCAGTCCTGGTGCTGTTTCAGTTCAGGCCACACTGTCCCTGTGTCCCAGCACAACAGTGGGAGGGCACTGGTCAGGTGAGGGGTCAGTGAAAGCAAGGCGAGATACTTCACACAGAGCCAACAGGGTGGGGAGCAGGGTCTGGCTGTGCACCTTGTGGAGACCTGGCAGGTGGCAGGTGACAGCTCTGCAGAAACGGCCCGAATGTGGGCAGGTGTCAGGAGCCAGGGTTAGGCAGTGGAGTGACGGTGATCCATACTGTGTGCGGCCTGCCCCGACCCTAGGCCAGCCCCCATCCTCCTCTAGAGAAGGGTCTAGGAAGTGCTTTGACCTGCCTGAACATGGCAGGTTCCCAGGGAGCTGAGCGCCATCCTTAGCTCATTCTGAAGCAGGGTGGAGACAGTGCACACCGGCTGGCATTGTCTGTCTCCGGGCACCCCGCAGGCGGCAGCAGCTTTGATGTGCTTCCTATCTTGGCGATGTCACTGGCCCTCTTAAAGTGATGGCCCGGGGAACATTCTACCTGTCAATGCCAAGGCATGGCCCCAGGAACAAAGCTGGAATGGCAGGTCACTTTCTCAGAGTCCTGCTAGGTACCCTCCAGTGGCATCCCACCCCCCACAGGAGCACGGTGGCTAGAGTCTGCCCTGCATTGGCCATCTGTGGAATAAGCCAGCTATCTCCCCTGGCTGCCAGGGAAGGGTGACATGGTGGCCATGAGCTGGGGATGATGGTCACAGCCCAGAAAGCCCAGTGCCCCGGGCCTGTCCCCACACTGGGGAGCGTATCTGAAAGGCCCAAAGGTGGTTTTGGACCCCCCATATCCTGCTTCAGGACAGCCAAGCAGTTCTGGACCCTCGGCTCAAGGAAGGAAGGTGGCGCAGCCGCCCCCACCTGCTGAACATCCCAGCCCTTCCTGGCTCTGGAGTGGCACAACCCATGTTGGGCCTCACCTCACTCCTCAGCCTGGGCTCAGAGGGTCACCCCACGGCAGCCAGGCTGGAGAGGCCCGTGAAAGGCTCACAGCCAGGCACTGTGTTGTGAACCAGAGGGGGACGGGAGCCTCTGCCCACACCAGCCCTGTGTCCTTCTGTGCCCATCTCTGCATTGCCATTGCTGGGGGCACCCGGACTCCGCCTGGTGGGGCAGAGCCACTCTCCCTGCTGTGGGCAGAGGACAGATGCACCAGGGTGGCACAGCACTGAGGAGACAGGTGAGACCCCAAACAGGCCTGGGCCCTGTGGCGTCTGAAGAGCTGCCCACTGGCCTCAGGCAGCGGAGCCATGTCTTACAGGTGGTGCCCGCGCCCCTCCCTCCTGTGTCTGTGCCCTCTGAGTGTTAAGGCTGTGCCCCCCTGCCACCTCCAAGTCTTGGCTGTGAGGAGGGTCTTGGTCCTGGGTGCCCAAGCCTGGTGTGCCTGGGGGAAAGGGGCTCTCGGATGGGCCCAGCCTATTCCTCAGTGTCCACCTGAGGAATCGGGCCAGTGCAGCGGGCCGGCTGGAAACAGCTGCCTGCACTGGGGCTGGCTGCTCGGCAGGGACAGCGGGGAGACCCGGAGGGACAGAGAAGTGGCCTGGGGCTGAGGCGGGGAGGCTCTGTGAGGCACCAGTGTGGGAGTCCGCAGGGCCAGCCCTCTGAGAGGCCGCTCCAGAGCAGCATTGTGCGGTGGTGGGATGGGGAGGGAAGGCCACAGCCTGCCAAGGTGACAAAGCCGCCCTGGGCTGCAGGAGAACTGCTTTGAAGCTGCCCCGGGTTTTGGCTCTGCTTACTGGGCTGAAGGGGAATGAGCTCCCAATGCTGGGCCCTGGAGGAGGAGGCTCTTGAGCCGAGCTGGGAAGGAAGGTAAAGGGCATTCATGGTCAAAGAAGCCTGAGAGTGGGCGCAGGCGGGGCTGACCTGCTGCTGGGGAGACCAGGAGGTGTGCTGTGTCCGTGCCACAGCCCAGGAGCAAGTGGCGGTCAGAAGAGTGGGGGCAGTGGTCCGGAGGGTGGAGGTGAGCCCAGCCTCCCTGCCCCCCAGGCTCCAGCCCTGAGGTGCTCTCCCAGCCATCTGACCTGGATCTCCAAGACATAGAGGAAGTGGAGATGGGCAGAGACACCTTCTGGCCCGGTAAGTCAGCAGAACTGGGTTAACCAGGTAACTGAGGGACCACAGTCTGCACGTGGCACCCCCAGTGCTGGCACCATCCCCTGCCTGGGGCCCTTTCCCTTCCCTTCCCTGGCACCAGCTCACCTCTGTTCCCAGGCCCCCTCCCCCACTCTAAAGCCAGTCCAGTCACTGAAGTTTCCCAAGGTGGTGACTGCAGCCCATGGCCACCTGCCCCAGTGGCCTCAGGTGGACACAGGCAGGAACTCCTCCCTCCCCTCCACGTGCTTCAGGCTGGGGCCTCTGGCTCAGGGCACCACTGTCCCCCCAGATCCACCAGACAGTTATTTGGGTTCCCTCCTACTTCGTCCCCCAGATGGCCTCACCTCAGCCTGGCTGGAGCTGTCAGTCCAGGTCCTCCGCACCTCCCCCATGAGAAGCCCTCTGGGTTCCCCCAGGTGATGTTAGTGCTGTGGCTGGATTTAACACATCTGGGCGGCCCTGGGGTGGGGAGCAGGTGTCTGAGATCAGGTCCATGGAAGGAGAACCTGGGCCAGAGAATTGCCTGGGAAGCTCCTGGGGTGGGTATGGGAGCTGGGTGGCAGGGCACTTGCCACCGAGGCCTGGGCAGCCCTGTGAGGAGCTGTGCCCATACGGACCACAGCCTCAGTGAGGGCTTTGGGCAGCCTCTGGAGCCCCCCAGGTTCCGGGTCCTCACCAGCACTCAGTGCTCTCTCCTAGCTGAGAGGGCGACCCCACCCACGGTCTGTTGCCACTGTGGCTCCCGTGCACTTGCACAGCCACTGAGTGACTGTGGGTGGTCCCAGCAGCCGTGGGTAACACTGCAACAACCCCCGCCCAAATGTTTATGACAGCCCTTCTGCGCACGGCGTTCTGAGCCCCTGCCTGCTTGTCTCCCATCCACTGGGGGCCCGGCCCCTCCCTGTCCCCTCTGAGCCCCCTGCCCAGCTCTGCTCACCCCGTTCCCGTCCCTCCGTGTCACGGTGGGGGCACGCTGGTACTATTCGCCTCTGCTGTTTCTCATTTCAGACTCCGAGCCAGAGCCGGCCCCACGCTGTCCCGGCCCGCGGGCCCCTGACGCGGGGACGGGCGGAGCGCTGCGCAGCCTACTGAGGAGCCTTCCCCGCAGGGCCCGGTGCGGCGCAGGCCTCGAGCCCGAGTCCAGCGCGGAGCGGCCGGCGGGCCAGACCCCCGGAGCCGTCCCCTGCCCCCAGCCGCGGGGCGCCTGGCGCGTGACGCTCGTGCCACAGGCAGCAGCCGGGCCCGAGGACACACCGGAGCGGGCCGCCGAGCTGGGAGTCACCTTCGGCCGGAACCGGCAGGGCGGCGCGCGGGGGGCCAAGCCGCACAGGTGCGAGGCCTGCGGCAAGAGCTTCAAGTACAACTCGCTGCTGCTGAAGCACCAGCGCATCCACACGGGCGAGAAGCCCTACGCCTGCCACGAGTGCGGCAAGCGCTTCCGCGGCTGGTCCGGCTTCATCCAGCACCACCGCATCCACACGGGCGAGAAGCCGTACGAGTGCGGCCAGTGCGGCCGCGCCTTCAGCCACAGCTCGCACTTCACGCAGCACCTGCGCATCCACAACGGCGAGAAGCCCTACAAGTGCGGGGAGTGCGGCCAGGCCTTCAGCCAGAGCTCCAACCTGGTGCGCCACCAGCGGCTGCACACAGGCGAGAAGCCCTACGCCTGCAGCCAGTGCGGCAAGGCCTTCATCTGGAGTTCCGTGCTCATCGAGCACCAGCGCATCCACACGGGCGAGAAGCCCTACGAGTGCGCCGACTGCGGCAAGGCCTTCCGCGGCCGCTCGCACTTCTTCCGGCACCTGCGGACCCACACCGGCGAAAAGCCCTTCGCGTGTGGCGCCTGCGGCAAGGCCTTCGGCCAGAGCTCGCAGCTCATCCAGCACCAGCGGGTGCACTACCGCGAGTAGCCGGGCGGGGGCTCGGGGCAAGGTCTCCTGCCTCCCCGCCTCCTCCGTGGGCACTGCCCAGCACCGCATGCCGCGTGTCCAGAATAAATTCTTTTTGATTGTTGGAAGCGGGAGCCGGCACCTGCCTGGGCGAGGCCTTGGGGCAGCTTCCCATCCCCGAGGACCCGCTGCAGGATTCGGGTGATAGGGCTGCTCCACCAACCTACCACAAAGGGCCACGGGTCCCTGGGGCCTGGCGGGCGGCCCAAGGATCCTAGGGGAGGGTCTGAGGCCTGGGGGTGTCCTGACTTCCCAGAGACCAGTAGTCTGGCCTGCCTGACGCTGACACCCCCTCATCAACGTGGGGGGTGCGCCCAGAGCAGGGGGTGAGAACAGGGCCCGCCTAGAGGCACCCACAGGCCTGGCCAGGCTTCCTATCTGATACCTGGGCGAGGCCTCTCTGGCAGTTCGGTTCCCTTGTGTATTTGGGAGGCCTCTGCTTCTGCCCAATGCCCCAGGGTCTTCACCACACGCCCTGTCAGCTCTACTGCCTCCTCCCCCAGCCTCCACTCAGTGGGGCCCGCTGGGCAGCAGTGGCCTGGGCCACCTCTGCACCAGCCCCTTGCCCTGGGGCGTGGGGTCCAGGGTGTTCAGGTCTTGACAGGTGTGGGCTGGTACTGCCGGACCCTCTTCAGAGCTGCTGAGACACTGCTCCTGGGCAGGGGAGTCTGAGACACACAGCCCTGGGAGAGCTCAGCTGGGGGTGGCCACAAAGTGCTGAGTGCCAGTGCCTGTACCCTCCAGGACAGCTGGCGGGCCCCACCGTGGGTTGAGGAGTTGCCTGGCCCCTCCAAGACTGCCCGTTTCCAGGTGTCGCCTGCTGTGACTCGTCCAGAACCCTGGGCCTGGCCCCCAGGTGTGCCTCTGGCGGGTGTGTGAGGTCACTGTCCTGTTGAAGATGAAGGCTATGATCCCCACTTTTTGGCAGTGTCTGCGGCGGCCTGGGCAGTGCACGTCTGATGTCATAGCCCCCAGCGAGACCATTTTCCAGAGAACCTGGAGGCTCCGAGGTGACCCGTGGCTTGCTAAAGGTCACATGATTCAGCACCAGCTGAATCCCAGGGCTCCCTGACCAGCCATCCACCCAGGCCCCTGCCGAGACAGCGGGACCTCGTTTCCAGCTCAGAAGCTTAGTCCCCTCCACAAGCCCCGCCCCGCAATGCCCCCCTCGCCCCCGCCCCCGCCTGGGAGCCTGCGGTGCTGAGTCTTGTGCAGCCCTTGGGGAAGGCGGCCCCAGGCCCCGCCTGCCCACACCTCCCTCTCCAGGCCTTGCTCCGGGGGCTCCATGGCCACCAGCGCTCTGGACGCTCCACCGCGCCCGGCGAGAACGAGTCTAGGGGTACGGGCTTGGAGGGCAATGCGTCTGCCCCACATCAGCTGGGAGGCAGGCGCCTCGAGTCGTCCTTGCTGGTGTGCGGTGGGCCTGGGGTTGAGACTGTTGGCCTGAAAGGTAAGGGTGAGGACGCCTGCATTCTCCTTGTTCAGTAACACGCGTGGGTAGCCAGGCCGATGGGGCTGGCTCTGCAGGGACCGATCCGCGCGCCCTCTGCCACCGGAGAGAACGACCCGGTGGCCCTCCACGCCGTCCTAGACAGTCCCGTAGGGGCCGGGGCTCCTGGAGGGGCGGGGCCGGGGTGGAGCCGGGGCGGGGCCGGGGTGGAGCCGGGGCGGGGCTGGAGCCGGGGGCGGGGCCGGGGTGGAGCGGAGGCGGGACGGGGTGGGGCGGGGCCGGGGTGGAGGCGGGCCGGGGCGGTGCTGGGGCGGGGCCAGTCGCACTCTCTGCAGCTGGCCCAGGCTGCGGAGCCACCGCTGCTCCACGCGAGACCTCCCGGAGGGAGTGCGTCGCGGCAGGTCCGGCGGGGCTGGTCCTGCGCGCAGGGTCGTAAACCCTCAGCAAGGTCCCTCTGTGTCCTCCCTTGTCGGGCAGGGCCCGCCGAGATGGGCAGAAACGGCATTTGTGCCTCTCCCAGTGTCTTCAGCGCCTCCTCCCAGCCCGCAGGTACTGGGCTGATTCTCGAACGTTCCAAGTGATCGGTGAGCATTTCCCGGGAACCCCAGAGTGGCCCGACAGGACCCCGGAGTGGACTTTTAAGGACATTTGTCTACCCTGTGGTGGCTGCCAGGTGTATCAGCATGCATTTGAACAGGACAAGATATTTCTGCGCCCTCCTGCCACCCTGCGCTGTCCTGGCCTCTTAGTCACGGACCTCCCCATTCCCCTTCGATTTGCATCACACCAGGGTCCTTGTCCGGGCCTCGGGGGACGGCTCTGACCCACAGAGGAACCTGGACGACGGCCACCTGGAGCATCTCCAGCTCAACGGCCAACCTCCAACCACACACCACCTCCAACCACACACCACCACCGCTCTCCCTCCTCTGACCCAAAACCCGATTCTCAGCCTCTGCCTCTCCCTCCTCCCCGAAGTGACCAGGGATCTTCCTAAGGCCCGGATGGTCTCTGGGAGCCCAGGTTTAGGATCCACCAGCCCTGATTCCATACCCCACACTTATCCTTCCTCACAGAGCCTGTTCCTGCCAGTGACAGTGGAGGTAGTGCAGCCCCGTTGGCACCACACATGGTGGCTGGAAAGATGGCATGGGTGGGGTTCTTTGCAAAGTGCCAGGCACACAGCATATCCCCATAAAAAGAGCGCCTGGAAGGGCCTGTTGATAGTGTCAGTGTATAGTCCTAGCAGAGGACCTCCTGAGCCTGGGTTGGTCACAGCAAATGTGAGGGACCAGGAAAACGGGTGCATGTGAGTTTTGGAACCCAGGAAGTGATCATCTGTATCTGGCAGAGTATCTACTTTTGAGCTGAGAAGGAAATAAAGGCCCTGGGATAGGGTAAAGCTACAGGGTCGTGGGGGTGTCCCCTATCACTGTGCTGAGGTGCAGGATCCAAGAAATAGAGAGGAAACAGAAGGACTGGAAAACACAGCTGAGCTCGGGCGCAGGGAGGGGGGCACACCACCTATGAGTAGAGACAGGTGAGGCCCTGAATGTCCAGGAGCATCTGTATTTATTGGGTATAGGTTGGGGGGCAGGTTAGTGAGTGAGGTCATCTTAAGGATAGTGATAGGGTCAAGACAATCACGTGAGCAATAAACAAGGGGTCCACCCCCGTTAGGTCACCGGGGCTAGGAAGCGGGCCTTGCGCAGTGAAGAGGGTGCAGTGTGCCACATCTCCCATCTATATAGGAGGATGCTTTAAATCACACAGCAGCGCCAGAGCTGACAGGTCTACCGCCACCTGCTGGCAGCTTCCAGTGATTTCTATAGGAGCATGCTTTGAGTCACACAGCAAGAGCTGATAAAGTTCACAGCCACCAAGGCGCGATTATACCGGAGGGGTTTTAAGCCCTTCGATGTTCCCGGGATTGCCTGCCAGAGGCCAACTTTCCAGAAGAACTGGATGCAAGGTCCTGCAACTCCCTTACAGGAGGAGTGACTCTCGCTCCAAGCCTGCCATACAGCTGGTATCTTTACCATACTGAACGCTGCCGCCTGGGCCAGCCTGCCATGTAGCACATGCCCTTTCGGGCCGGGGTACTACCGCCTGGGCCATAGATTCTTGTCCTGGTACAACTGTTTTTCCCTTAAATCATGCTCTGCACTGTGTCTGCTCTAGACATTCCTCCGACTATAAGCAGGATATGCTTATGTATGTATAGCTGTTTATCCCTTAATTCATGCTGTGTACCATGTCTGCTCTAGGCATTCCTCTATGAATGGAGATATAATTTTATATATATATGGAAATAACTTAGTAAGATATTCTTCAAGCACTAATTATTCTGATTATAAACTAATACATGATTATATATAAAGGATTATATAAAGGAAATAACTGAGTAATAATACTATCAACTAAGATACTCTTTAGGTACTAATTGTGCCGGGGATCTGCTTAGCTCTCTTTCCTCAGTGCCCAGAGTGGGGCTTACCCACAGCTGGAGGGGTGCTGAACCCTGAAGCTGCAGAGAGAGGACTTCTGAGGCAGCTTCCAGGAGCCCCAGAAGAGGGGAGGGCCGAGTGCTGACCTCATCGTGGTCTTGGGAGCAGGTGTGCATGCCTATGGATTAGCAAATAAAGGACCAAAATGAGCTTAAGTTTGAAACCTTTTCAGTTCACAAGGGTTTTTATTTTTACATGAATATATGTAGCATGATGTACTGGCTTGGAAAATCGACCTTGGGATTTCAAGTCCAACTCTGCACTTAACTGTGAGGTTGGATGAGTTATTAATCTCTCTGAATCTGTTTCCTGATTAGTAAAATGACGTATTAGGGTTCTCTAGAGAAGCAGAACCAATAGTGGGGCGGGATGGGTAAGAGAAAGACAGTTATTATCAGGAATGCACTCACAGGACTATGGGGGCTGGACAGTCCCAAGATCTGCAGCTGTCAGGCAGGAGAGCTGATGGTGTGAGTTCCCGTATGAAAGAAAAAGCTGATGTTTCCGTTCAAGTCTGAAGGCAGGAAAAGACCTAGGGCCCAGTTCAGTCAGTCAGACAAGAGGTGGTTCCTATGCGGGCCTTGAACTGATTGGATGAGGCCCACCCACATTAAGAAGGGCACTCTGCTCCACTCAGTTCACAAATTCAAATGTTAATTTTATCCAAGAACAGCCCCACAGACACACACAGTGCCAATGCTCACTCTCAGATTGCCCTCCAGACCGAGGGAACCAGTTGACAAGGCCCCCAGCTCCCCCAGCTATGAGACCAAGTTCCTTGTAACTTTATTTTATTTTGAGATGATATTTCCCTCTTGTTGCCCAGGCTGGAGGGCAATGGTGTGATCCCGGCTCACCGCAACCTCCACCTCTCAGGTTCAAGCAATTCTCCTGCCTCAGCCTCCCGAATAGGTGGGATTACAGGAATGCGCCATCATGCCTTGCTAATTTTAAATTTTTAGTAGAAATGGGGTTTTTCCATGTTGGTCAGGCTGGTGATCCGCCCACCTTGGCCTCCCAAAGTGCTGGGATTACAGGCATGAGCCTCTGCGCCCGGCCCCCCATAACTTTTCAACATGGTCACTTGATTTTCCAAGCTTCACAGACTAGT